TATAATATATATCTACAGTTTATACAACTACTATTATCCAAATTTTAAAAAATCGTTTTCTATTGTTATTTACGTAATTATGTTTACATGGTTAAATTATAATTTAGACCTCGATTTGACCGATAATAAAATATTACAAGTATTCTTACGTGACATTGAGGTGAGGCTGATTTACTATGTGGCAGTATAAATGATAATGCTTCCAATTTACCACCACATGGTTTGTGATTGCTTGCTGATCCATTACATGCGACTTGATCCGAGTCTTGACATTTTACAACTATTTTATAAAGATGCGTCGGAATAGCTACAGAGCCTATTTCGCCGTTTAGCCAACTGAGAATAGAAATGAGGACAATAGCTACTTACTATAATCTATTCTTTTAATTAGCATTCTATACTAAAGTGGCTACGATACTACTTACTATGAAGGATCGCTCATGACCGTTTCATGATCGGCTTTTATCATTGCTCCTGATATAACAAAAATCCCTCCGTACTTTTTAGACCATTTATTAATTAACATCTCCAAGTAGTTCCATGGTCCTAGTTAAAGCAAGTTTTAGCATAATAGAATAAGAGGTCAAGATTTCTGTATCGTAGAATATTTACAGCTTATATAAGTTTTCTTCTATACAGGCTAGTCTAACCTGTCTTAAATGCAGCATGGAGCGGTACGATATTAGATAACATATTTGAATTGGATTGAGTTACCACATCGAAGCTTACATCGCCTTAATCAATTCAAATTTATCAAAATACAAATTTTATGCATTCTTTTTACAATCACACATTGTAGGACACTAGAATATCTTCTTACTTTTAGGCATGAGATGTCCCTTTTCATAGCTGGAGTTTACATAATTTGAGCAATTAGAAGTCTGTGTTGCAATATCTAATCGTATGTCACGATGATAGCACGTGTCTTTATTAGGAGAGGCAGTCGATTCCTATCGTAGATATAATTCTCTTATTTTTAGTTAAAACTGTAGTCAAGTTATGAAGCCTTTGGAGTTTAGCCTAACCTTATCAGACAGGAAATAACCAGCGAATAAAGGTATATGGTAGATATTACTATATCCAGATATGTATTGCTTATGATAAAGTGTACACGTATCCATAGCATTTTCATATTTAGGTACACCCCACGGGAGGTTATGCTGTTCTGAATGTTTTTCTATAATAATTCGAGAAGTACGTTACAATTTTGCTAGCATGACTGTTTATCAGTTACCGGAATCTTACCTTGCTCAGCAGTCATCTTTAAAGCCTCGTTACTACGAGTTAAATTGGCTCTAAGAGAAGGCTGTAAGTTAAAATTTGTAAATTTAGTTTCATAGTTATTCTAGTAATAAATGGAATGGTAGTTAATTATAACTTTAAATACTGTTTCAATTAAAATATTATTTAAAGATAAAGTCAGCCTAATTGTAAATAGAGAAATGCAAAGATGAGAGAGTCTATAGAATTTTTGAAATTTCATAATAATTATAAAACTGAAAAGGTAGATTGATAATCATGACGAAGTTGTTATTATGATAGTTCAGGATTTGACATCTTAAAATTGACTTTTAACGTTGAGCTATGATCTATAACTAATGAAACAATGGAAACTGCAAGAATTTTGTAGATTTAGTAAATCGCCGACCGTGCGTACTTATCTTGCTGTAGCAGTTTCAGCTAATCACAGCAGTGATCGAAGTACGGTAGCATGAAGAAGTAGAATAGTCTACAATACTTATAAGGTAATTTCATGATTGCTGGTGATGAAACGGTGTACTTATACTATTCGTACTAACTATGTATAAGGCCGTAGAAGTTAGCTATATAAGGTGATGTTTTTGTGTAATGTCTTAATATAACTGTTAGATAATATGGAATTGTTATCGTGGAGACGAAGTCGATTATCTGATTTATCTTAGCCACTTTCGACTGTTATTATGAGGGAAGAAAAGTGAATTCTTCTCTTATCGAGGGTTCTATTAATAAACGGATACTTTTAAAGTTAAACATGGAGTCTGCCTGATTTTGTATCGCGTTAGAGATTTGCTCAATTTCAATAACTCAGATTTTTGAGGTAGACCATTTGGAACCTAAGGGTAGTAAAACCCAAGCACTATACCCGCCTGTTTATGTACGCTTGCTATGATCAGCTATTAAAATAATAATCCTGTCGGTTTCGGATCCATTTGACTTTATGTAAAAGACTAAATTCTATACTATGATTATTTATTTAATTAAAGTAATACTCACATGGCAAGAAGAACAAATGCATTCAGAGCAATTCTGTCTAGCTGCTAAGATAGCAGAATCTTGAGGTACTCTGCATACCTTACCTAATGACATAGAGCCGAAGGAATTTAATTATATCGTTAACTCATCTAAATAATTTTAAATTTAGTGCTTATATTTAATAATGCCTTAATTTTCCTTCCTGATCGAATATAATCCGTCAAGTTAAATTAATTTACCGGGTTGACCAGTACTGATTTTTGAAATTGGAGGAGGATTCTTGAGAATATGATGTAACCTTCCAAGTGTTCCGTTATTTTTAGCAGGTGGAATATTTAAAACAGCTAGATAGGATTATTCTTATTTTATTAGAGGTGTCATAAAGTAAAAACTGAATATTCATAATTATTTTATTATACTTATATAATCTATATTTATACGGAGCAAATATGAAACTCTAAAAGCGTATAATTTGAGCTGTCGATACAGTCGGTGCTTTATTTTCTAACTCAAATAAGGACAACTCTAGCATGTGAATGTTTATTGTATTCCTGAACTTACTTGCCATCAAGTTATAAATTTCGATATTTAAAAAGGGTTTAATGATAACTCCACTCTTAAATGCTGGCCCGCCTGCTATAAAAATTGTTCTCATATCTGGATCCAGATTATTCCAACCATGATTAGCGCCGTGACAGAATGTGTAACGAGGACTGTACCTATGATTTAAATTTTATTTAGCTTTAATCAGCCATAAACGATAGTTTGCAGATTATTAACGAGACTTACGATTGTCTAACGATCCAATCTTCATCTGGTAGAACTATAATTTCGGGAATACGTCTAAATGAAGCAGCAGATCATTGCATAAAGCTCGGAGTGATATCAATTATCTTCATTAATTACAAAAATTCATTCAACTAACCTGTTATCATAATAGTGCATACGGATTGGCAAGTCTTCTTTCTTAAATACTTTCCAGTGTTTATTTTTACACTGAAAATACGTGTGTAAAACAGTCGAAGTTAACTTAAGTAGTTTGTAAAAGGCTGAATCGATGCACTTATTGTCTGAGAAATAATAAATGCACGTATTCTCTAAAAGAATCCTTACCCGCAAGTTTTCTACAACTTCATCAACATTGCCTACAGAAATTGAAGTAAATTAAGATTTTTACTATTTAATACATTCATGGTTATTTATGGTTTCAAATACTTAAGGTTATCTAGAACTATCCGGTCACATACAGTACACAGTTAACTTGATCTTATATAGAGTGCAATTTTGGATTTAACAAAGAACAGTACTGCACGTATGATCGAACAATTAAAAGTCAAAGCGAATTTATGTCATGATAATCTTAAAAATTTGCATTACTTGTAATTATCTAGTTATATTAAGGATAGAAATCTCTTTAAATATTTATAAATGCCATAGGGAAATATCCAGTAAATTAACTAATCCTATTGCATTAATAGCCCTCATAAATTAATATTCAATTTCTGAAGCTTATACAGGAAGTGAGACTGTAATTCTATGCCTCACAGTAGAAATTTCTTTTTCTTTAATTAATTAATGCCTTCATACTGAAGGTCATCATAAATTATTATCACAAGTGAGATATAAATATTCTGCGTAGTAGGTATAAAAACCTTGTATTCATTGGTGCTTTTGCATTAAAAGAGTTGACAAATTAGCACTTCATTCATGCGAGTGTCAAGTAGAAGCAAATATCTCATCTCCTATTTGCTAACTTAAACATTGATCGTATAACAAACGCTAAACTAGTTACTATAATTTTCAAAGCGACGTACCTTCTTTAGTTTGAATACCGCCAAAGGGTCCAGAATTGCGTACATAGACTTCAGTTGTATTGATATACTACATCAATTACAGATCAAGTAATCAGTTAACGATAGCGAGATCAATATTTTATAACGTTACACTACTAATAATTTATTCATAGAAAAGATTACCTTGTTGAAATAAAGAATTCGGTTACAGCATGTTTTTCTCATACCTTGAAATGTCAAATAAATAATAAAATTTCACAAGATACATGAATGCTAGATGATAGCACCTAGTAGATTAAATAGTATTATTCATTAAAGAAATGGCACCATGCTTTATCAGCAATAAACTTAAGTCTTGCATTAAACCTCAAAGTGTTTTATGCTTACCATGATCTGCGGTTATGATAATATTTACGCAATCTTGCATTCCTCGCTTCTTTAAGCCGTAGAAAATAGCTCCCATTACATCGTCAACGATTTTAATTTGCTCATTTACCTAAAATGGATTCAAAATAGTTTATCTTTAATAATGTAAATTTATTTATAACGCAAATTGTATCAATCTAGCCAGGATAGACATATTGAAGAAATAGAATCTGAAATTATGAAATAAATATTGAAACATGATGGTAGCATACCTCAGCTGAATCTGGGCCATATCGATGTCCTGCAGTATCTGGTTGATCAAAATACATGGTTACCATGCTAGGACTGTAGAAAACAGTAGGCCTAGTTAGTCAATTTTCAAACGGCATTGTGGACTGGGCAATCCAAAAGTATTCAGAAAGCAAAACTTTACCGTTCATCATCAGGCATTTCCATCCATTTAAAAAATTGATCCACGCGATCCATGAAAGGCACTCTTCTATAATACGTAAATAAGGAAAATATAATACATGCAACGGTCACCTCAGCAAAAAAAATATATTGCGAAGTGCGATATACTTCCATCACAGCACGCGATTATCAATAATTTATCAACAAATTCAGATCAAGAACGGTAACTACATTTGTGCTACATACCCAGAGTAGGTATACCAATAATTTGGTTGATAGCCTAACAGTGGGAAAGAATAGATTATAATTACTATTAACGGTGCGTATTAAATTTCACACAACACAACTAATATCAAGCTAAGAATTTGCTAGTTAGTATTATTTAACTTTTGGTTGGATAAAAGAAAGCCCAATGTTCGCGTGCACCAAAAATGTGAATTGAATGCTTTTGATATCGTTTTGCCTCATGAAAATATTATAAGTGCTAAACCATGTTGGTTATCGCTTTACTAATCATACTACGTTATTACAGTGATTATAATCTACCATAATAGCAATATCATTCTATGCTAAAACTGCTCAATTTTCGAACTTTTCAATGTAAATCATTTCTTTAGTTTAGACATCTGTCAAATTCTATGATATCAATTACCTGCAATCTTGGACTCAGAACCGACCCAAAAGTAGCTAGCTGATTTCAAATTGTGTTTTCTTGCTGTCACCCAAATCTAAAGATAAAAGGGAAACAGCGGTAATATTATAGAATAAATACGTAGTTTGGTCATCACTGATCTTAACAGGCAATTTACTCACCGGTTCTCCACCCCACCATCTCGACTGACTCGAATTCTTCGCTCCAATATAAAATTGATCCTTAAAGACAGGATCATAAAAGCTATTTCCAATAATGCCATGGTAGGCGGGATACAGACCCTAAATCGTACATGCATAACAAGCGTGACAAATACAATCCCATCTATTTCATCGATCTTTGTAATAGAACTAACCGTTACTATAGTATAATGATTGGGAAATGTCTTGGTAGGAAAACTAGATTGCATATATTCGGCTCGAACACCCTCCGCAGCTGTTACATAAAGCAGTGTTAGGGGGTATAAATAAACCAAGTAAATATTAGAAACGAATTTGCTTTTAAACGATAAATTGAAAAGTTACATATACATACATATATATAGCATATATTCTAGTATAAACTAACTTAACTTGATTATTCCGTCTTCGAATTATTTACTCACCAAATTTGGATATATTAGGGGAATATCCGCGATGAAAGTAGTTCCAACGAAAGCCATCGAGAGAAACTAGCAACAGCGGTTTGACTTTTCCTCTGATACATTAAGACAATTTAAGAAGCTAGTCAATATCATGACTTGCAAATTACAGCAACCATTATAATACTTTCATTGCATCCTATAGCGTGCAGCTCATACTTTTAATAGAAACGGATAAGCTTTTACATACTATGTTAAAATCATAAACTATTCTAATTGCATGCATGCATACATACTTGCAAACGCCTGGAATAGGTGGTTTAGTCGGCTTTGAAGTTGTTGGTCGAGAAGTAATGACCGGTGAACGCGTTGGTCGCCGAGTCACTGGAGGTACAGTATTAGGAGCTTTAGTTGTTGCACTAGTTGTGCGGGTTATAGTAGAATCCTGTCCGTCTGAATGACTATTGGCTGCGATATTTTAAATTTACAAGAGTACATTCATTAGAAATGGCTGATAAATTCATTGTACAGCAATATGATTGTAAGATCTCGCTTCCTTCACTTCACTTCCATTTGATCAATTTGCTAGAATTAGCAAAATACTTTCTTGTCACAATAAGTACTTATAATTAGAGTATTACTCAACTAGTTAATCCTGAAGGAATCTTTAAATTTACGTGGCACTACAATGATAAAATAGCCTATAATTCTTATCCAGTGGTTGATTACAACACCACTCTGGTTACATGAATTTAGTATTGACTGATAGCTAGTTTATTTATGATTTTATCTGGATGTCTATATATACGTGCATTGTATACGTATAAATAGCATACATTTTGATACTGCTATTTATAGGTTAATAGATACGAGCGCAACTTTGTACTTTTTCGCATTCATTACGCAGGTTAGAGGATACTGACTAGAATCTTCGACCAACAACTCTAGGCGATTTATTTACAGTTAGAATATTGAGTTTATAGTAGTTGGTACATATTGAAGCATAAACTAGTGATTTTCTTCATTAATTAGCATAAAGTTTTGCTTCGTTACCAAGCAGTCATGCAATGTGTTTATCATCTATCCCATCCATGCTGATTCTATCCCACGTCTGCAACATTTTCACTCTATATCAACAGTCAAATTTACCTGCTCTTTGCGTAAATATACCGATAAGGAGACCAATTGCAAAGGCTACAATGATCAGAATTATCCCGGCAATCTAATTAAAACATTTAGAATTAAAATATCGTAAATTAAATATTAATAAGAGTTCTTGGTCTTCACTGAGTTTTGCGTTATGGTCTCGCTTAAACACTTTGCCTGATTATACTTTCTTCTGCGCCGTTGTCTAGATACCTTAGCTGCCTAGAAATACTAGGCTATATTCCCTGATAAATATACTATATCTACGGTTTAGACATGAGCAAGTCTAAACTAACCTAGAATTACAATTACATTCTATTGACTCGAACGATATTCAGCATTATAACTCATTTCAGCTAATAATTATAATAATACTAGAAGATCGTGATAGCTAACACCGATCTATACAAACCCTTCTAAGTGTAAGCAGGTTAGAAACGGATTAACTTACGCTTAAATTTAGAAACAGCCTATTAATCTTATTTAGCTATACGCATATTTAGGGTAGTTTCTAACACTGGCTAATTAGATTATCATTACTGAGGAATTAATTGCTTTTGGCAATATCTTGAGATCATGTCTTAATTCATGCAGAAATGCCGGATTTTAGTTTATGGCTGCATATTTATAAGATCATTTATCGCGGTGCCACATTAAGTTATTACAACTCTCTGAAAATGAATATCGCAATCTTGTTAAGTCGTATATTGTATCATGTATCGAAGGATTACTAACGAATAAAGGTAAGTTAAGCTAGCAAGGCCTTCTTATTAACATAACTGTAGTTTATTGTGTATTAAATCAAGTATAAAATACAGTACATTAGTAGGAGTACCTAACGAGCTTCACCAAGCTTAATTTATATTCATTATTTGCAACTCTAAAGTTAACAGATGTAGCATACAATCACAGAAATAGGTGTTAAAATTAAGAAAATGTCAATTGTTATTAAGGAAAAGGCTATATCGTATGCGAAGTGAAGGTAATTAGTACCGTAAGTATTTTCGAAGTAACAGCTAATTTAAGACATTCATAGCAATAAGGAATTATAATTCTATCATTATTTCACGTAACTTTAATAGATTACAGTATAATTTGCCGTAGCGAATTTATTCTATGTTTAAATCTTACCAAATAGGATCTTTTTATTTTACCATCCGGTTGCTTCTTACTTTCTTCTTCAAATTGCGCCTTTCAACAACCGTATTGGCGTGGTTGAAAGGTAATACAGCAGAGAGAAAATAATAAATTTTATGCATATACTCTGAGTCAGGTTAAGTTTCAAGAATTAAATTAGTAGAGATTAATCTATAATACAAATTGTTAATTTACACTGGATGAGAGAAGAAATACTAGTTGCTGCAATCTGCTAGGCAGAAAACAAGTACATCACTCTCATTGATTACCAAATAAATTAAAATCACCTATGCATTACTGCGGTGAACTCAACATTAGATGAATCAATAGCAAATTTGAACATGATTTACTAGTTATCTTCAATTTTAAGAAGCTATTTATGGGAACCGAATCATAGTTAAGTAAACTGCAGCTAAATTGAATTATCCTGTTCGATTGGTGACCTTCAGCAAGATTTTTGATATAACTTATATCGCTAGGATGGGTTAAGCAAGAATATCTCACTTAAATCATCCAATATCAATATTTAATAAGCTCTATATCTATATTTCTAACAGTTTACTAATAACTGCCACTGAATTGTTTTAGTATAACTTTATATCGCTAGAATGGATTAAGCAAAAACATGTCCCTTAAAATATCCAATATCAACATTTAATAGATTCTATATCGCCATCTCGAACAATTTGCCAATAACTGGTATTGATCATCATACGACAAGCGCTTCCTAAAACTTTCTACAAGGAATCCTATAATTTAACTCAGCAATATTATCACTTTTTAATTTTACCTTTTCACTAAACATTTTTCTGCCTTTCCTTCTTTATGATCACAAGAAATTTTCTTATCTTCCGTTAAACGGAAGCAAAATGAACCAGTTTAAGCAAAAAAAAAAATAAGAACAGCAAACGCTAGTATAAATTGTTATGAAATTTACTATGGGAAGATGTGATTGGACAAGATCGATTAAGCCACGTGCTTGGATTCCTATAGTTTCTAATGTCTGGACAAATAATTATATCTATAATTTACTTGTAATGTGTACGATATTATGATCAATTTATAAGAGGCTTAAGTGCATCGATTATTTAAGCAGTCCAACCCTATCTTGAACATATAATCTCGTAATTTAGACTTTAACTAGCAATAATAATATGACTATGTCGACTTAAAGTGTGATCGTATATAAATATGCTAATGTTATTAGCTTTCTAGTTGCGATAAATGTTCACGAATAGCCAGGCAATCATCGCTAGATTAATAATAATACCATCAGAGCCAGTTAAAGGGAGATCTTATATAAAATTCGGCTTTTATTATTTTTCTAGGTTGCAAAAGATCTTAATAAAGCATTAAAAATAGCAAACAGGATATAGAGAAATCAATGGTTAGTTCAATAACAAAATAAAACGTCAAGAATAGGAATAATAACAGCGTAAAGTTTTTTGCGCTGATATAATCTATAGTGTTGTGATGTTATTATTGTGAATTCATTAAATCTAGAATCAGCGAGATTGTGCATACAGTCTTTACTTTATGCCCTGATAGTTAATGCAAATAAATACTATCCAATGATATTATAAATACATAGGAAGAATTCCTCTATAGCCTAACCTAGTAATAGGGGCGATTTGCATAGTTCTATTTGTCATTATATTAGTTAAAATTAGGCAATTAATAACAAACATTAGATAATTTATATTTTTCTCTTAGGACTTACGCTAAAGAGAATAATATAGCAATATAGCAATGATATTAGAAAATTCAAGATTAATCACTTCGTAGGCTATGATAATCATTTTGAATGTTAGTGCAATAGAATTTGCTTCCTGAAACATGATATCGGACATTGAAAATAGCTTGTGTATGATGTATTTGTAAAGATTTTGGTATTATTTCATACTTAATACTTAAGTTATGAAAGCTTATCTGAATATAAACTGAACGAGTATCAACGTTATAACAGTTGGAATTGATTTGCAATTACTCTACTTAATCTAATCAGATCGCCACCATATTTGTATCATGATTTAAACACAGTACCTGGCACAACGTAATACTTGCTTTAAATAACTTAAATAGTAACTTAAGTTAGCTCCTCCTGATTGGAATTGCGAACTTTGTCAACCACAAGTAAACAAATAAATAAGTTCATCAATCGCGTCAGTAACTGCTAAATTAGCTCCGCTAGTGCGAAATAGCTTAATGATGCAGAGTTATAAGCTTTTATCTGAATTTTCTATCGAAGTAAATCACGCACATATATAAATAAACTCATCTACTTAACAAAATAAACTGACTAATGGTTAGAACTGATGTATCTTAACTGGAATAGCCTCAGTAGATAGACTAGAATCTCATTGTTTTGGTTATAATCCCCTTAGGTTGATATTGTGACATACAATGGCTACCAACAGTATAGGATGAAAGTTTTAAATATTCTGAAAGTCAATCCATCGATTGTTACATCAGTGCAAATCAGTAAATTTGATACTACAGCAAGCCCTACAAAATCGATGATCGGCCACTTAAAATGACTTCAACTCAGAATATATTTGCCAGATGTTACTAAGAGTGATGTCGTCAATTCAAAATTACCTTCTATAGAGCTTACTTGGATTAATTTTCTAGCGTTATCTATTCAATTACAGAGTAAAGTAACAAACATTAATAAGGAACACACCACTTTTAATTTTTAGCGTTAGTAAAAAGCCTAAATTCTTATTGTAAATAGTTCATGACAAATTTTCTAAGGCGATAAGTAATTTTCGATTCTCTGCAGTTACCCTAACTGTCGTAGTTTATAAACTCGTAGCAATTATTTTATTATTTAGTCAAACATTACTAACAGATTGACCCTTATACAATCACCTTAGTAAACGTATAGTAATTGAATGATTGATTTGCTTACATCGAGAGCTAATTCATAACATACGGTAATTCAATGAGAATACAATACAAAATCCAAACAGCTATTTGTTTAAGCGAATATTTTTCTAGTAGCTTTGATGATGCTACCGTATATTGAGCTAGTACACTAACAAAAGATGAGATAAATACATAGGCTATTTTGTTGAGCAGTATCTTAAAGAATACATATATTTACGCCTATCAAATAATTTCTGTAACACTTGACAGCTATTGATGCTAGATACTATCATATAATTGAGTAGCACTAGTACGATTATATTATGATAAAATCTAATGATTGAAATATGAGTGAATTTCTTTTCTATACAGCAAGAGTTATATATTTTTCCTTAGTGGTATGGTTTAAGATATTAAATGTGATAATGTGATTGATTTAGAACTAGACAGTTGTAAATATTATGGTAAAATTGCAATATTCAACTATTAATGGATTTCCATCAACGACTGTGTAGACGTAGGTTAAGTACTATGCAATATACAGTGTTATAATCAAAATTGCAGTTGTCACACTTTTAAATTGTTTATTGGAATAAGTTACTGTTGGCTCATAATATATAATTAACACATATATATCTTCTATAAAAATTAATATAATTGCCTGCGTATAGAAAATACTATATTCCGATATAGGAAATGATTAACAAATTGCACAGATGGAATTTGGCACAAGTATATAAGGAAGTGCACTTGTACTCAAGGAAGGAGTAATTTAAGCTGCGTAGTGTAATAACAGTGAATAAAGCTAGCTTTTAATATTACTTAAAAGCTTCTAGACTGGCTCTTACCGTTGACTAAGGTCTTTTGCGAAGGAAGTGAAAATAGTGACGCTTGGTAGCAGTCTTATAGTACGGTAGAAGGCTTTACAGGTAATTATAGAAAAAGGATTCATTGTAGCAAACGGCGTTATGACACTTAGATTAGAATAATATTGACAATCGCGATATTGCGATTAATACCCGCGATATGCAAGCGACGTTTTAAGATAGATGCAATTAAGCAACATAGCTGACAAATGAAAACGATTATCGTTAATGACGTTATATTAAAATAATATTCTGTAATTCTAAAATTGATTTCCAGCTACAGTACACTATATCTCAGTATTACAACATATATATTTCACCATAACAGTATATCATGAAGTCGTATATACTATAATCATGATGTTTGTCAATCAACTTGTGATAATGTAAATTTGCGTAATTGCTCTAGCAAAGATCGAATTTCTTGCTTGCTTTGATCGATAGAGATATTTTCTTGATTTTCATATAGCTGTGCAATATGTGGATGCTCATGTTCAAAGTCTGTTGATAAAATTACAAGTGATTTCTCAATCATCGAAATGCCTTCTTCATGCCTGCCCTGATCCAAATAAACACCTCCAATTAGGCCATATAATTCACCGATATCGGGATGACCGTGATCAAGGACTAGTAATCGAATTTCAAGTGATCTATTATACATAGAAATAGCTTCTTCGTACTTATCCTGATCTTTGTAGAGACTTCCTATGAGAGCATACGAACTAGCAACTTTAGGGTGATGGTGATCATGGACTAATAATCGAATTTTGAGTGATTTCTGATACACAGAAAGAGCCTCTTCATACTTGCCTTGATATCGATATGTACTTCCCATGTTGTCATACAAGTCAGTTATATCAGGATGATTCTCACCAAAGACTAATAGCATTATTTTAAGCGACTTATCATACATGGAAATTGCCTCTTCATATCTGCCCTGGTTACAATAGACATTTCCTATGCTGAAATATAATATAGCTACATCGGGATAATTGTCATCATTGACCGATAATTGAATTTTCAGTGACTTCTCATACATAGAAATTGCTTCTTTATACTTTTTCTGATTATTATAGATATCTCCTATCTGGCGATATGAATTAGCAACATTGGAATGATTACAACCATAGACTAATAATTGAATTTCTAACGACTTTTGAAACATAGAAATAGCTTTTACATACTGACGGCGATGACGATACATCAATCCCATGTTGCTATAGGATAAAGCAATATCAGGATGATTGTGATCAAGAGTTGATAATTTAATTTCGAGCGATTTCTCTAACATAGAAATTGCCAATTCATCTTTACCATGATCAGCATAGGTAGCTGCCATGTTGTTATACAATAACGCAATAGCGGGATTATTGAAGCCAAATTTTGATAGGCTAATGTCGAACGACTTCTTAAACATAGAAATAGCCTCTGTATGCTTGCCTTGAAGACAATATATACCTGCCAAGTTGTTATATGATGTAGCTACTTTGCAATGATTGTGGCCGTAGACTGATAATAGAATTTTGAGTGATTTCTCATACATAGAAATAGCCTCTTCATACTTACCCTGATCCATATAGACAACTCCGATTCGGTTATATAATCCAGCAATTTCGGAATGATTCTGGCCATAGATTGATAATAGAATTTCTAATGATTTCTTATACATGCTGATAGCCTCTTCAAATTTGCCCTGTTTATAATAGATAGTTGCTATATTGCTTCCTGATCCAGCTGCATCTGGATGATTTTCACCATGGACTGAAAGTTTAATTTTGTGTGCCTTCTCAAACATAGAAATGGCCATTTCATATTTACCTTGACTGCTGTAGGTAGAACCCATGTTGTTATACACTACAGCAACATGATGATCATCATGACCAAAAACAGAAATTGAAATTTCGAGCGCCTTGTTGTAACTAGACAAAGCCTCTTTATAATTGCCCTGATCATCGTAGATAGATGCTATACGATCATATACTGCACTAACATTTGGATGATTGGGACCAAGGACTGATACTTGAATTTCCAGTGATTTTTTAAACATTAACATGGCTTCTTCGTACTTATTCAGTTTTGAATAGGCCTCTGCTACGTAAAAATATGATTTAGCAGTTTCGGGATGATTACGACCAAGGGCTGATAATTGAATTTTAAGTGCTTTCTCAAACATAGAAATGGCTTCTTCATATTTATCCTGCATTTTATTGATAATTCCAATGTTGTAATATGATGAGGCAATATCGGAATGATTCGCATCCAGAAGTGCTAATTGAATTTCAAGTGCTTTTTCGTGCATTGAAATAGCCTCGTCAAGCTTGCCTAGATGAGATAGCAAAGTTGCCAGATTGTTATATGATTGACTAACAACAGGATGTTTAGGACCGAAAAATGATAATCTAATTTCGAGTGCCTTCTTATACATAGAAATACCCACTTCTTCGTTTTTCAGATCGCTATAGACATTTCCCATGTTGCTATATATCGTGGCAATATCAGGATGATTGCGACCAAAGATCAATAATAGAATTTCAAGTGCCTTTTTATACTCAGAAAGAGCCTCAGTATACTTGCTCTGAAAATAATGAACATTTGCAATACCCATATGTGAAGAAGCAACTTTGAAATGATTATAACCAAAAACCGATAATCGAATTTCGAGTGCCTTTTTATGTGCAATTATGGCTTTGTCATAATCGCCATGAAATGTATATGCATGTCCTATAGAGAAATATGATGCAGCAATCCCAAAATAATTCAAGTTTGATAGAAAAATTTCAATTGACTTTTCCAATATTATAATAGCTTCTTCATACTTGCCCTGATTCGTATACTCATTTCCAATGTTGACATAGGATTGAGCAACATGGATATGATTGGAACCAAGAACTGACAATCGGATTTTAAGTGATTGTTCGTGCTTGGAAATAGCCTCGTCATACCTTCCCAAATTGGAGTAGACACTTCCCAGGCTGTTATACGATACAGCAACATCGAGATGATTATGACCGAGCACTGATAATTGAATTTTGAGTGCTTTATCATACTGGGAAATAGCTTTCTCATACTTCCCCTGATTAGAATACACAGCTCCCATGTTGTGATAGGATGCAGCAACATCGGAATGATTGTGACCAAGGACTGATAATCGAATTTTGAGTGCCTTTTCAAATGTTGATATAGCTTCTTCGTATTGATTCCGATTGAAATAAACACTTCCTATGTTATTCAGAGAGTGTGCAACATCAGCATGATTTTGACCAAAGACCAATAAACGAATTTCGAGTGACTTCTCATACATAGAAATAGCATCTTCAATCTTGCCCTGATCATAAAAAACATTTCCCATGCTGTTATATGATTCGGCAACATCTGGATGATTGTGATCAAGTGTTGATAATCGAATTTTAAGTGCTTTCTCATGCATAGAATTGGCCTCTTCATACTTGCCTTGCTCATTAAAGACAATTCCTAAGCTGTTATATGATTTGGCAACATCGGGATGATTGTTATCGAAGACGGAAGTTCGAATTTTAAGTGACTTCTCATGCATAGTAATGGCTTCTTCATGTTTACCCTGCTCACTATAGACATTTCCTAGGTTATTATAAGAATTGGCAACATCGAGATGATTATGACCAAGGACTGATTTTTGAATTTTAAGTGACTTCTCATACATAGTTATAGCCTCTTCATGCCTTTTTAGCTTCCGAAGCACATTTCCCAGGTTGTAATAAGATATAGCAGTGTCAGAATTATAGTTACTTAGGGCTGATAATTTAATATGTAGTGATTTCTCATACATCGAATGAGCCTTATCATATTTACTTTTAGCTTCATAAATAGCTCCTATATTTTCGTATGAATGACTTATGACTAAATCTTTCTCACCAAAACCTTTTAATTTTATATCTAGTGATTTCATATAATAATTCAATGCTCCATTCCAATCCCTTTGTGACCGTTTAATTGCGCCTTGTCTATCTAAAGATCGAGCAATGATCATATCTTCTTGTAGCTTTTCACCTACTTCTCCTATTTTTTCATTCAATCTCTCTGCTTCTACCCAGTCACTTTGTTGTTTATAGATATCGCTCATATGAATATAAATATCACATTGAAGTCGATCAAGATCGACATGACTTCTGGATATCGTTTCAATTTTATCCAAGGCTTGTTTGTAGTAAGTTATTGCTTCATTATAGTTGCCCGATTGATCACTCTCTTCACCCCGCTCGTATAGAGATCTTATTTCTTGAGGGATAACAAACTTGACGGATTGGTTTTCCATGTTGTAAAATCTGAAGAAAGAATTCATACGATCGATATCAAACGATACATTAGGTAAATATGAAACTAAATTTTGCAACTGATAAATAAGAACCAAACGGAAATGGTAGTTGCTACTGAAGATAACTTCTGCATATGTTATATGAATATTTAGGCTTAATTTTCAATAGAAGCTACAACAATATTATAAGAATTTATTCGTATGTTTTCTACAATATTTATTAAAATAGTGTCTTATTGCAAAGTTGTTATTCTGATTAATAAATTTTGATGTATAAATATTAATGATTACCGTAATTCATCCATGGCCGCATTCATCAAGTGTTAAAGTATAACTAATAGAACATGATGTTGAAATTAAGCTATTCAGTAGGAAATTTAATAAGGGGATTTCAAAATATTGTAACTGGAACTTTGTATATATCATTATTTTGTTGATAATATCATGATTACTAAATCATAATATGATTCGTTATTCATTTTCATAGTTAAACTAAAAGTATTATCAACTACTGTACGACACTCATAAAGCTGCTATAATTCCCCCCCCCCCCCCAAATGAAGGTATCGCCTTTTAAATAGTCCCTGAAATTCTTATCATCTACGCATGTAGCGTCGTTGAAGATTAACTGATTACTAATTCTTATTTCATCGTTTCTCCAGTAGAGTACTACCCACTATAGGGCGGCAGCTATCCGAGAGAGATAGTTATAACTTTTTTGAGATATAAAGATAAGAAACGGAATCTACGCGTTCTCAATTGGAAGAATTGATTTTATGAGAATTCTAGCACTATCTAGTAAATTCACCTTAGATCACCGCAAGGTATTGTATGTGTTAATTAATACTATGAAACTTTTTAATCTTTCACTAATCACTAATGCGCTAACACCTCTTATTAGTAATCGCTATATGCACAACTTACTTTCGAAAGAAAGAATTGTTTACTTCATAAAACTAGGCATCTAAAACTCATTATAACATAAGTCATTTATAGAATGCGCTTTGAATTGATTTTTATTTTACACGTATAAAATCGAATAGGTATCAAAGGATAATTAAGCACTTAATGTAAAGTACTACTGTAATTAAACCTATCTTAAGTAAGCTTTAATCGGGTAAATCTCGGAAAACACTAATTTAGATCTGTTTAAGTGCGATACAATGGAGGATTGTAATTGGGTATATTTAGACGGAAGCTGACTCATTGAATTTCAATCCATACCAATCAACTTTATAAAAATTAAAAATGTAACCGCTAGTGCTCTCTTAAAGTACAGTAACAACTTATTAAAGAAAGCTAAAGGTAAAGCACTAAAAGGAGTGATATTGAGAAAGATTTATTCTGGCAGAATTCATACTGTCAGTATAAATCGAACAACCGTTGGAAAAATAAAAGTTTAACATTTACTTACGATTAAGTAGATTTTTCTTTTAAGTTCTAGTTCTACGCCTATAACCGAAGAGCTCTATAATTTTCTAAAATGAATCACCTTTAATAGGTTTAAGAAAGCTCCAGGTGGCATACAAGAATAAATATTTATCAACCTTTGCATTCCAGAAGAATCTGCTCATCAAAATAACTAATTACGCAAAGTTCAGATTACAAAAGGCTTCAAATTCCCTTAAAAAATACTGTACGTGTAATATTAAGTAATTTTTTTATCTTATCTTTCTTATAATATAAGATGTAAATAAAGCTGAATATCTGTCCAGATTCATGGACTACTAACAGAGAAAAATATTTTTCTCTCTTAGTTTTCATTACTACAGGCAACTTACTGTCAAGGTAGGTACTGAATCATACACCTTAAAGTTTTAACTGAGATCTAGAGTAACGCGTAATTAAAAATCATGCAGTTTAGAGCAGCAATACGCAACTTCTCCATTTTAATATTTATAGCCTCAATCAATTGGCAGACGGACAAAAGGTAGCCTCGATATGACATCTTTTTATTTCACCCTAGCCAATAACTCTTAGAGATTTATTTTATATCGTCGCGGTGACAGAGTTCTAAATATTCTCTGTCATTGACGGTAAAATATCTATAAAGATTTACAAATTGATTTCACACAGAGTTCCTGTAAAAACAATTATCTAAATCATAATTATTAAATAAAATAGTAACCCATGCTTGACAGCTGTGGTACTATAAAAACGCCTCCATTATCCTATCACTCAATAAATGCTATAATTTACTATATGCATATATTGCCCCACTGTAGGCATGCTACAACAAAGATAAATGTATAGGATAAATTTAGAATTGGATTGATCAAAACGAAATATCATGTAATCAAAAAAATATTGAGAATGATGAATGACATTACTAAAATGTTGTCCACATTTCTGTTGCAGCTTCACTTTCTATCCTGTCTTGTAGATCAGGCGCCATGTTAGGGAAGAAATTAATTCCAGTCAATTCTTCAATATCGCGAACGCTAGCCACATGGCTAAATAAGTAGGAATTATAGGTCTGTTAAGAGTAGAAGAAATAAATATTAATAAAAATAGGATTAATAGAATCAAAAACCTCTCTGTTTTATATTTCATTTTTGACATATCGTATATAAAGTGATGAGGGATTACAATATGTTTATGTTCAATTGCCATTCTCTACCTGGCATTGAGGAGCAAATGATTTAATATGTGGTAAAATAAATGCTATAACATCAATTTTTCCCTTGCAAGGCTTAGCAGTCATAACTGAAGAGTCGCAAAGTAATTGATCAGAATCTTGACATTTAGCTAAAATTTTATAAAAATGGGTTGGAATGACCACGGAGCCAATATCTCCTTTAAGCCAACTGACAAAGAAAGTAGTATGAAGTAGGATAAAACAAGGAACAATTTTCGCCATCATTTGATATTTAGTTATAGAGAATGCACTCTAAGTATACTAGATTTTCAGAAATTATTATTTAACTTACTACGATGGATTACCCACGACAGTTTTCCAGTCAGCTTTGACAATTGAGCCTGAAATGACATAAATACTTCCAAATAGCCGAGCCCAATCGCGAGTTAATTTTTCCAAATCAAGCCAAGGTCCTTGATTGATTATGAGATAAAATTAGAAATTTCCTATGTTATCTTTAGGTATCTTTACAAATTATCTGATTGTTAGAGAAATTGTTTAGCTATTTGATATTCAATCAGCTTGTGAACGGTCAAGAAACATTCCCATTATTTGAATGAACTCAGACTAGCGTTTACCTGCATTAAAGGCGTAGACTTGTGGAGCAATATTGGATAGAATAAACGTATTCGCTTGCGCTTCTAAATCAAAACTCATATCACCTGAGCATATAATCAAGGAATTATTTTAGATATCGTTAATTATTAATACAAGTTTCATCAGATCGTTGTGTATTGGAACTAAAAATGACTAGAAGCCAACTATTTGCTACCATTAGGTGCTAAATGCCCACGATTATAACCAGATCGATAGTAATTAGAACAATTAGATGTTTGGGCAGCAACATTTAGCCTACTATCACGTCGAAAACAGTCTATTCTTGATAGTGGCCTTAATGATTCCTATAAGAATTTAATTCCGAGATAGAATTTTAAGTTACAATATTTTTTCCATTAATTAGGTCATTATTGGACATCGACCATTAACAAACTTACTGTATCAGTTAAATGATAGCCAACAAATAACGGTACATGAAAGGTATTGCTGTATCCAGTTATATAATGATTCTGGTATAGAGTACAAGTATCCAATGATGCTCGATATCTGGGTATTCCCCACGGAAAGTTGCGATTCTCAGACTCTTTCTCTGTTGTAATATATTTCGTTATATATAAAGTTAATCATAGAAATAGAGTATGACCTCTGCAGTTATGAAAATGATAATCTATGGATTATTTCAGTTTTAGACCTTGTTGTTGTGTCATTCTGAGAGCTTGATTAAAGATGGTGAGATTTACCGAACTCTTAAATTTTTAAATAGATAAAAGCCTTCGCTCAACGATATTAGGTATGGCTAATCTGTTACCGAGCTGAAAAACTTTTATTTGTTTTCCATCTTTAATGAAAAATATTACGTGAACGTACAAGATTCCTTAACTATTTTTTAGTTACAATCCTACAAGATCTACCTTACAATCTGGACAAACACAATCAGAACAATTTTCTCTATCGATATAAACGTTATGATCTTGTGGTACTCGACAGACTGACCCCAACTGACCAGCAATCTGGGTAGCTGCAGCCGTAGAATTTTGCAAAATGAAATTCAGTCTTCCTATAGTGCCATCATTTTTAGCTGGTTTAATCGATAAGAGAGCTATACAAGGCCAGAAAGAAAATTAGTAAAAATTAAGCTCTTGTTAAGTACCTATTTCTTAGAATGAATTAGAAATCGACTTTGACACATTAGCGAATAGCGTTAGTAAATTATTTAGTCTTAGGGCTTTACTAAGATCAAACTGAATATTTTATACATTATCTGCCGTGTTATTACAGAAAATTTAAATTGAGAACTTTGTGGCTAATTGCCGTCACTGTAAGGTATAACTGTACATCCCACATACTTCAAAACTAAAAATTCTATTTCTATACTTTACTAGATATGCAAGAATTATGTCTATTAATCCTGGTGTACGGTAAGCCATGAACGTCAAAAAATGGAGCAAAGGCATCATGTCAGTGATTTATCTCTAAGATATTGCATAAAATTAAGATTTGATTATGATCTGCATAGCTAAAAGTTGTCACAACATCATAAAGGAAAGTTTTGCAAAAATTATTACATGATTATCCAAAAAGGTGCATAGACTGGATCAAGTGACTAAGTCATCCATTACCTGCCATGATATTGTATAGTTCAATGTTTTTAAACGGTTTAATTGTGAGTGATTTTTTAAATCCAGGGCCAGCAGCGAAAAAGATAGTTCTCATATCAGGGTCTAAATTGTCCCAGCCATGATTAGCGCCATTGCAGGATGTATCTGCTGGGTTATATCTAGAATTGTTCAATCAGAAAGCAGATTTAGAATTATCGGATAGGCTATTTTCAAATTTAGTAACACGGTAATGTCGAAAAGTATTTCTGTACTACATTTAGATTGTACTGTAACTATAATCTACTCATAATATAGACATTTTATATTGCTCTTAAATATGGATACCTTTATAGTCTGTTTGTACCATATTCAAATATGGCTCGCTGTGTTTAGTTATTTATAGTATTTACAGTCTTCACTATTTTCTACTACCATTTGCTATTACATAGTCTGTTACGATGCATGTTGTATTCCATTTTGCAATCTTGTTCTCTACTCGTGTTTTATCTCAGAAGCTATAAGAAGCGCCGATTTCTACCTTAGAAATCATCAGTTGCACTAGTCGCAGTAGTAGTACTTCCTAACGTCACTTCATGGCAGCCTACACGTTGATCTACCGTAACTAGCGCATTTTAGCTCCACTACTATCTAAACATAGTATCCACTTTTATTAAAATTCATTGCTTAATTTATGTAAATGACTAATAAGTCCGTGGCCGCTGACTCTTCGAACCCTCCATCACAATTTATATTTTACATCCCTCTAACAATAAATTACTTAAAAATAAGCCCAGATATTCCTAGATTTAGTCTCCCTACTGATATTAATAGGGCGAAATAGAAAATAAAGTATAGCTAAATTAAAATCCTTTTCCGTATTTAGTACTATCGATTCTTTTTCCAAAATATTAGCAAAGGATCCGTCTATTAAAACAATAGGATTTGGTTAAAGTAAGGTAAGGAGAGCTTAATCAATTATTTACTAAAGATATTTCACGGATTTAGCTTAATTTTCTACGCTGCATTATGCGCAAATATTTGAGAGATAAATCACCAAATCAATCAACTGATGATGCCGGTTAATTTAAATTTCAATACAATTAGTAAATATCAACGATCAGATGGAGCGATTCCCTTTCTTAGAATAAATAGGGTACGGTAATCCTGAGTAAAGGTACTTCGTTGATTTAGCTTAACTTTCTACACACTTTAATCATGATGCTATAGGTATAATCATCCACCTAAATCTATTACAACAGGTAACAGTTACTTCATATTTCCATAATAAAATACTAGCGTTACCAATAGCGAAACAGGTGCAAGATGATATTGTAACGGTAATATTAAATTGTCTCTAGTTGTGTGGAACATGGTGTCAGTTCCGCATATGTTAGCGCTATATATATGTTATTGATTATCTATTGGTGGGAATCGAAAGATGTAGCGGTGTTAATGGGCCTCTTGGCGAGAAGTGCAGGTGGAAGTCCTAGAAGATTGACTATTGGTCGAGGAGCTGAGAAACAAGGTTCGAGGCGATATAAACAAGACGCGGACCATGTTAAAGGGCTTCTATACTGTAGCCGTTACGATATACTATTTTGTATAGGGAAAATTGTGATAGAGTTTTGATGTAAATATTTACATCAAAGATAGATATATAAGGAGGCTAATATAATTGTAGAAGTAGATAGATTCATTCATAGGTTAGCTTGAAGAAGACATAGTAGTTATTCTTTTGATATTATATCCGTAGTTTTTAATGCCTGTATTTTAACATCGTAATAAACTTTTTATATGATATATAATTTCTTACTTAGATTAGCTAGCTGAAATAAGATTACTTACGTTGACCCTACCAGCCAGTTTTCATTTGGCATAATAATTACATCTGGAATACGGCTATACAAATGAAGAGTATACCATATACAAGCTCATTGTCTTTATATCCAGTTGGGCATATCAAAATCTCAACTGCATCATGTGTTATACTCTCTTTACCTGTTGTTACAATAATGAAGTCGATAGGGTAATTCTTCTTTCTTATATACGCTCCAATGTTTGAATTTGCACTAATTTCACAAAATAGGTTGATCTACTTTATTTTCATTTCTACTTTAGAATTGTTGGATATACCAAATATTTTTGCTTACTTTTAATTTCTGTACAAGCTCCGTAGCGTTTCCTATCATTATGAGACAGTCAAATCTTCACTCAGAAAGTATAGGCTAATCGTGATAGTTATTTCATGGCTATCTATTCCATTGACGCTATTTAATTCTTCATCAATTTTACCTCCATGAATTCGAATACCACCAAATGGTCCACGATTAATAATGTTATAATGACCGATGTCGATTAACTGAAAGAAACATCATACTATTGTAAGTAGACAGTGTGCAGCAATATTTGACTCAACAAAGCAGGATTCTATCATTGTTAACTTACTTGGTCGAGATAGACCACCCTTTTGCAGCATGTTTTTCTCATTCCTTGTCAAAGATAATAGGACAAATTCAAATATCTTTAATTTAGTCATTAGCATTTTTGCTTTATTGCTATCAAAAAGGAATTAGGGTCTGTACAATCGCGAATGAAAAATGTTAGCGAGCTAAGTAGCTTTGAATATATCAATTAATTTCCTATAATCAAGAAAGCATATTTCGTAGGATATTACAGGTATCTATAAATGTAACTAATATAACTCAAGTTACAGTATTAAGCATTCTACATTTGTACAGCATACAGTACACGGTATAAAGTTACTGAACCTCTGACAGGTCTATCAAATGGTAATACTATCTGTTAAATGAGCACATTATCGTAAACCGTCAGCAAAGCGACGAGAGTTTGTACTAGTATAACCGATACTAACCATGATCTGATGTCACGATAATATTGACGCAATCCTCTAATCCTCTTTCCTTTAATCCTGAAAATATAGCTCCAAGAATATCATCTACTCTTTTAATTTCATAATCAACCTAAAAATCAATAGTAACTTCATCAGTATTCACGCGCAATATATCCGGCTGAGAATAGAATATTTGCTATCTACCTGATTAGAATCTGGACCATAAAGATGCCCTACACGATCTGGCTGGTCAAAGTACATGGTAATGATCATAGGCCTACGAGCATAAATAATTACCATACGTTATTATTAAAGCCATAGACGAATCGTCATTAACTGCCATTTTAGTACGTAATTGGAGCAGTTTTATACAATCTGGAAATGATTGCAATTTCAATTGTTAAACTTTCCTTGCTATTCGCTATTTTGATGTTGTGGTACTTATTTTTGAACGTGAGATATCGCATACTCGTATATGCGTATAAGCAAACTTTGGATGATCGTAATTTTACTATGTACCATAGATTCTGCATGTAGCATTTGTATAAATGTGAGCTAAACTACTGTTGATAACGATATTTAGCTATATAGTGTTAACAGTATAGAATAATTAGGCTAAATGTGCAGTTATTTGGAGAACAGTGATGTAAATTGGATGATTATGGGTATTATTTGCACTCTTAACTTTACAATGTAAAATGTCGATTTATAGCTTTAATGAAGCAGGTATAAGTTACCTTCGATCTGCTGGCATTTCGAGCCATTTAAATAACTGATTTACACGATCTATAAAAGAAACGCTCCTAAACAGAAATTAAAATCATCACATACTCATTAACTTATGGGAAGTTCTAGAAATTAGACGATTGCGTTGCTCACAATCAATCGATCAGGATCAGATTATTTGCTACTGACATGAATAGCCATTTATGTCCAAAGGCTGATAACAATGAGATGAATAATCTTACCTGTCATAGGGAAACCAGTAATCTGGTCGATAACCTATATTAGAATATGCCGTGACGAATATTGTAATATTATATAATATTGGAAAAGAAATTTGTATTTCGCCTACTTTACAGGAGCAAATAATGTCAAGAAATTACTTTAGAGCTTATTACCTTGGATTTTCGCTTCTGAACCTGCCCAATAAAAACTGGCTGATTTTAGATTATTCTTTTTAGCCGTTACCCAAATCTAGAAAAACGATATTAGCATACTTAAAATTGCCTATCAGGCACTTTAATGCTCTCTACGTAGATACATCGATGATAAACTAATCATTCGAAACATATTTCAGCCTCAAAAATGAAGACAAAGCTATATGAACAAGGAGCTTTAAAATACAGAAGGATGAAAAATTACGATACATGTCTATATATTTTGCAGACATTCTTGTTATGACAATCAAGATACTTTGCAAGTTAAAAGACTTACTGGTTCACCTCCCCACCATTTGGATTGATTGTTATTTCTACTACCGATATAAAATGTTTCGCCTAGTTCCGGATCGTAAAATGTATTAGCAACGATGCCATGATGTGCAGGATAGAGGCCCTATATCGCAAATAATCAATAATACCCCTAAGTAAGGTCAAGCAATAATTCTATTTATATTTTACAGCATCAGAGCTTACTGTAACAATAGTATAATGATTTGGGAATGTTTTAGTTGGAAAGCAGGACTGCATATATTCCGCTCGGACACCTCGGCTGGCTAAAATAAAGTGAAATGATTAAGAAAGATAAATTGCAACGAAGTACATTCTAACTGTACAGGTGTCAAAGTTATCTTTAATCCTATAGATAAAAAATATAATGTTAGCAATATAGAATAAACTGCAATAACTGGTCAACTATGAATCGAAGCTGATTGCTTAAGACTATTAGACAAGTAATGAGGCTATGCTTGATATTTTGGACTGCTAACCCGACAACAAGCAATCAGCTAAATTTATCATACTGTC